AGTGGTAGATTAAGTAACAATTGGAGAAGTAGATTGACTTATAAGACTGGCGGAGTATCGGATGAAAGGTAGCAAGGGGAAATAGGATTGATCACAATTTATAGGTCACAGATGAATGGGTTGGAGATAGGAAGGCTTGAAATTAGAGGGTGGCATGCTTTCTTCCACTGAGTTGGCAAGCATGAGGGACATCATCCTGTTGCCATTATGAATGGCACTTGACTGATCTTCAAACACCACTATTTTCCAAAGCCATAAGAAACCGGCCAAACCTCTGGTTCAAATCATCTGTTGTTTTCTCATTTGAACATCAATCTCAGTTAACACTTAAAAGAGAAAGTTGTGGCTAATCCATAGTGCTTGGGTCTAAACCTTTGACACGGTGATTACACCTCTTTCCAGAACAGTGCCATTAAAGTCCCTGGGCTTTATTTTTGTTTTCTGTAACTCAGGTGTAATATACTCATTTTTGGTACCTCAATGAAGAATCTATCCACTTACTGGATGTTCTCAGGAGATACAAATCATATACCACAGTGTATTTTTAGCCAATTCCTATAAACATCTTAATCAGGCACTTAATGATGTGGGAAGAAATGGTTTTTAAAAGATTAACATAAGTATCTGTTAAACAAACGAATCAATACTAACACCAGATTCCAGTTCTCCTTTTAGTCTTCATTGATCAAACTTCTGTTTCTCACATTACTGTAATATAATTCTGCCAAGATAGAGCTAGCCCCACAATTATGATGTGTTCCTTGCATAACAAATAGAATGCTAGAATCTCGTGACCTCAGAGCAGTTGTTCATAGCATGGTAAGATTCACAATAGAATCACTTGAGACCTATTTTAATCTAGCTTTAGTTTCAGAGTCTTGTAGATGAATTGTTGTGGAGAAAAGAGAGGAAATATATGTCCTTTTACAAAAGTCTTTAGAATACATTTTGATTTTATCAACTGAAATATCTTTAGGTCAGCCTGATCAGAATAGCGGTCAAAGACAAAACTTCCATTTTTGGCTGTGTTCTAGAGAATGACACAAAGCACTAATTCTTGTTTGGTTGTTTACAAATAAAACAGTGAACATATCCACTTTCCTCCTGAATATATCCAGCACACTTTCTTCCTATTTCCCCCATAACAACAACCCTGGAGTGGGTTGAACAGAGAGAGTGACTGGCCGAAGGACACCCAGCTAACTTTCATGGCCAAGGCAGGATTGGAATTAATGGTCTTCCACTTTCTAGCCTGTTGCCTTAATCACTAGACCAAATTGGGTCTTTCTTCTATAAGAACTTTACCTTGTTTCGGAGGGTGCTATTTTCTCCCACAGCTTTTAAGTATCAAATCAAATTCTCTATTATGGTTGATGACCAGAGCTTTAAATATTTGCAGATTTGCAGAGATTTGCAACACTTTGCATTCTATATACAGTAGATGTAAACTCTATTTTTTTTTCCTTTCTTATTTTTTGTATTTCTATGCCATGAGTTCTGGAAGTGGTGAACTCTCTAAGTGACTAGCAATCAAACGCGCACACACACACACACATTTCTATCATCTATCTATCATCTATCTATCTATCTATCTATCTATCTATCTATCTATCTATCTATCATCTATCTATCTATCTTGCTAGCCACTTAGAGAGTTAACTATTAACTCAACCACACTGTAAAGGACACAGGAAAACATATAAAGTCATGTTTTTGTTGATGCATCCCAACATTTCATACCATGCCTTCCTCATGGGCTAGATGGAAAAAACCAAGTCTTAATTGGTTACTTGAAATTCAGGAGGTGAAGATAGATCAGATCTCTATCAAAAGAGTCCCAGAGCATAGGGATAGCTGACTATCCAGGTATCAGTCATGGCTGATCATCTTAGCATCTTTCTTGTTGGTAAGAATGATGACATTTCAAATTGACAACTGTGATTGCAGTTAAAATAATAATAGCCTTATTATTCCCAACATTTTCCCCCTCAGATTACAGAGCAGAATACAAATTCTCTGCCTCTACTTTAATAGCCATCTCAAACTGAATTCAAAACCAAAAAGCTAAGGTCTCTTCTGTCCCAGTATACTTCCTGGACAATTGAAATTACAACCATAGTTCTTATTTGCCCCTTATCCGGTTGAAAAGCATTGATGGCTGGAGAGAGATTGGCAGACGCTGGGTAAGAATCAAGCAGAGAATTATAGTCTAGAGCAGAGGGGTGAAAATCACGTGACATATCGGGACATTTTTCCCCTTCGCTAAACTGGGCATTGGCATGGCCAGCATGTGATGCAGCCGGCCCATGAGCCATGAGTTTGATAGCCCTGGTCTAGAGCAGAGTTCCCCAACATTTCTGGTTTGTGAACCATCAGGGGTGTATGTGTGATAGCAATAGCACTTACACTTATATACTACTTCACAGTGCTTTTACAGCCCTCTCTATAAGCAGTTTACAGAGTCAGCATATTGCCTCCAACAATCTGGGTCCTCATTTTATGCACCTCGGAAGGATGGAAGGATGAGCCTGCTGAGATTCGAACTGCCAAATTCCAGGCAGCTGGCAGGCAGCAGTAGCAGCCTGCAGTACTGCATTCTAACCACTGCGCCACCATGGCATGTGATGGCTCTGTGTGAGCAGTGGGCAAAAGCACATGTGTGCATGCAACCTCATTTCCGCAAATGGGGGAGATACACACCCCTGCTAGTGTAAAGGGAGCATACGCAAATGCTCACCCGCTACTTTCACATGTGGGAATGCCTGCCACTCACTCGCCTGCCACTTCCATGGCCTGGTTGCTAATTTCTCAAGACCTGATAAAGGGCCATGGCCTGGGGCTTGGGGATCCCTGGTCTAGAGTCCTTGCACGGACACTAAAGGGTGAAGGCCAACTCTACCTTGAATGCCATTGAACCTTATTTAGTCTTACCCAGATGTAAACAATCAGTTGGAGGAGATTCCCACATAAAGGCCTAAGTAATAAGTCAGCTAATTAAATTCTTCATGCACAGACCTGGGTGTTTGCATCTGACATTGATAGTTGTAATGGTATAATGTGTATATCCTTAAAGATGAGGTAAAAAGATGCTGCATAGGAAATGATCCAACAAGAGAGGGTGAGTTCTCAATGGCTTAATGCTCAGAGGAAGAAGCAGGAAAGACCCTCCCTAGTTGATCAGGTGGTTAAAAGCGGCGGGGATAATTTTGTACCTGGCAAGATTCTGCTAATATAAAATTATGTTTACAATAAAAGCAGATTTAGCAGATCTAATCATTTCCTGTCTTTTTTGCTTGGGAAGGGGGACAATAGCTCAATTTACAACATTTTAGAATCAAAAATTTAGGTCATGTACCGTGTTTCTCATATAATAAGGCCGGGTCTTTTTTTTTTTTTTTTGAGCCCCGAAAAAATGGCTAGGCCGTCTTTTCGGGGGTGACTTAATCCCCCCCCCCTTGCATCTTCGGGCAGGCGGGCGGCGACGGCTTGGATGTTGACCTCGGTGTTGGTGGGGCACTTTGTATCAGGGTCAACGCAGGCAGCACCATATCCGGGTGTGCAACAAAAGTACTTCCTAACGGCAAGCCCCCCCACCATTCCCCCCCATTTCGCATGTTTTAATATAGGCCTTAATTTGGGGGGAGGGGCTTAATTTCATTTCATGCCTATAAAATATGCTGGGACTTCCTATTGGGGGAGGCCGTATTGTTGGAGAAACAGGGTATTACATAGAAAGGAGATTCTACGGCAGCGGCCCCCAAACATTTTGGGCAGCAGGGACTGGTTCCATGGAGAAGGATTTTTCTGCAGACCAGAAGGGTCATGGTTTTGCATGCTGCCTGCATACCACAGATGGGGCTTCACTTGTTTGCATGGCCCAGTTGCCAGCATGCCACAGACCTGTGCTGTCCATGGACCGGGAGTTGGGGACCCCTGTTCTATGGGATCACTTTGACAAACCTCTATTTAGTTTATAACAATCCTGTATAAAGATCATTGTTTTATTTTTTTAAAACTTCAGTTTCCCTAATCCATGCACAGCTGTACCATAATTTCCCCCCACTATTCATTCTAACATTTAATTGAGCCTTAAATGTTATCTAAGATAACTGCAGGTCCATCCATCTAAGGTAAAATGCAAGGGTTTTTGATGAGGTGGTCGCCGTGTTGTGAAATTGTCTAAGGAATTGTGTATTCATAAGACATAATCCAGTACAGTAGTATACAGAATTTACTCTTGAGGAGCAATAACTTTTTATCAGATTGTGTATTAATTAATACTTTATTAATAGTGTAATAGGCAGAACAAAGTATTTAAGAGTGTTTCAGATTCAAGTGTGCTTTAGTGTACTCAATAAATAATTCTTAACCGAATTAATGAAGAAATTAAAGTTATTGAATAAGGATTCTGTTCTATTCTGTCCTGTCCTATCGAATCTTATTCCCTGGCATTACCATGCACAGCAGCATTCTTAGTGTTTCTGTGTTTTCGGAAAGACCCAATAGAGGTAGCATCTTTTATGTATTCTCTTTGTCATTCTTTTTCTTGTACTATAAATATAGAAAACACAGGTCTATTTGTATAACTATTTCCTATTCATAGGAGAAATTAATTCAGCTACAAAGGCCACACATGACGAAATGGTTCAGGTACATAGTGCTGGTTTTATTTTTAGTAAAACAATATGAATAGTCCATTTTGTAGGGTTTGTACATATGTAGTTTTCATTTTTCTGTGATCATACTTTTTGATCTTGCTTTTTGTAGGCTTTTGCCCCCTGGCAGAGTGGCCCTTACAAATATAAAATCTTAAAGTCCCATTTTTTTTAAAACATGAGTTTGATTCCCCTAAAGCCCTTAGGTAATAAGATAAGTTAGAAGTAGTAACTGATAAATATATCTGTAACAGGCATTTTTAGTGAAAGAAAAGGTTTCATCAGATCTATGTCTTTATATTTTTTTCATTTTTAATGCCCAAATTCTTTTGTGACCAGCTGTAACTAACTGGTGTCTAGATTGTCTGTGCTTTCTTTTTCGTTCAAAGCTCTCTCAAGCAACTTATGCATTGGTTCTGCGGCCTCCTGTCTTTGCCAATTTCCAACAAAGAAATAGACCAAAGGGCTGACACTACTTTTGATAGCGTCAAACAGCAGAGACAGTTGAAATAAAGTTGGGTTACGAAGTGCCTTAACCCACTTGCTTATAAAATAACGAGTATGAAATGTAAAAATACAAACAAGAGAAAGGATAACCATGATAATGAGGGTGATATCAAGTCTTGATTTGGTCCTTTGCTTTGGTCTTTTCCGCATTCTGATAAAAAGGGACAAAGCAGAAAAGGACATGATGGGGAACAAAAACATAAGCTGAACAATAGATTCAAACATTGATGCACTGTGACAGAAAGAATTGCTTTCAGAGTGGGATGAAAGCAATTTTGGGTAGCAGGAAACATATAATGTCAGGGCCACTAGAGAAGACCAGAACCATATTATGCAGCATATATTCAATGTGAATTCCTTTGGACGGTGCTGTTGATAGTAGAGAGGGAAAGAGACCATGAAATACCTTTCAAAGCATGTAACTGTTAATAAAAAAATGCTGGCATTGCTTGACAATGAATAAATATTCTCCATTGCCCGTGAAAAATAATAACTGACATAAAGTGATGTCAGAAATACACTAAACACTATAAGGAAGTAAGCAGCCACAATAAAATCGGCTATTATCAAATTGAGAATATAAACTACGAATGTTGTCTTCTTCACCTTGGTGCAGAGCAGCCAAAAGACAGTTGCGTTCCCAATCAATCCCCAGAAACAGATTGGAATGGATAAGGCTGCCACTATTTCCGTGGAAAGCCCTTTGTTCCTTATCTGTAGCCAATTATTTAGCTCTGTGTCATTTGTTTTCATTGTAATAGCGTGAGAAGATAAGGTAATTGCTTCCGTCATCTTGCCATGGTCATTGTTCAATAATTCTTCTCAATCTGTCAAAATTAAACACAATTCTCATTAATAAGCCTCTTACATATTTTACAGAAGTAAGAAACACTCAAAAGTATTTCTTGTCTGGCAATAATACTAGTATTATCATTGTGTTTCTTTCACATAGATTTATTGCAAGACAAGAAATGCTAACTGGAATGTATGCTGACATAAAGTCTGTTTTCTGGGAGTCAGAATATATGTTTATATTGATATTTTAATAGGTCCTAGGGTGTTATTCTGTATTCTAGAAATGTCCTTTGGCTTTTCCATTGTAACACCGTTAATAGCACAATGCTTTCACTGGAAATGCTACACTGGTGTTGTCCTTTGTCACACCTATTTGCCAAAAACCTACTCCCAACAATGTGCAGAATGCTACAAACATACATTTTTGTGCATTTGGTCACCAGCCCATTCTGAACAGATTTAGTGATAACTGGATCTATATGGTCCATTTTCCATCTAATAATTTCTCCTTAAAGACAGGAGAACATCTTTAAAGTATTGCCTCAATACTTAAAGTATTGCTTATTTCTGTTATTCCCAACTAACATTTCAAGATGTGAGACGCAATTAATATTTGGTTAAAGGGAACTTTGCACAAAAGTGCAAAGCCCTTTGGGACACCACATTATCCAGGGCAAATATTTATGTGGAAAAACCAGCGGTACTCAGGAAACAAACATCTATATGAGAATGTTTACATTTAGGCACAGCAACCCCTACTCAAAAAAAAAAAAAAAAAAAAAGAGCCAGAATTCGATAGGACCTTGCAATACATCTTGTTTTAAGCTGGAAGGAATTGCAAGGCCCTGTTGGGAACAAAGATCCAAGTCAGGGAAGAAGAAACAGTGGCCTCCAGATTCAAACTATGAAGCCAGAAAAAGGCAGAATTATTCTGGAAATTTCCCTGGCGCAAGAGTTTCTGAAGGAGAGACTATTCTAGAGGGAATGTACTGAGGGAACGTACTTCCTTTGCCATCTCTTCTGTAAAGTTACCCGTCTTGTTTCTGTGCCTAGGAGATTCCCAACTTCCAGCACTGCAAACCAGAGTTGCTTTTGGAAAGATGTCAGAAGGCACAGGACGTATATGCATTAGTTATAGTTACTGATTTGGTGTTCTCAGGAGAAAAATAAAACATTAAAAAATAAAATAACACATTACTGCAACATGCTCTACATGAGGCGACCCTTGAAGAGTATATTCAGAAGCTACAGCTGTAAAGAATGCAGTGGCATAGACAATTCTGGAGGTCGTTAAAGTGGTACGTGTAACATCCACTATTATGTGGAGCTGCATTGGTTGCCGGTTTACTTCCAGGTCCAATTCAAGGTGTTGATTATCATCAGTGGTGGGATTCAAATTCTTTTACTACTGGTTTGGTGGGCGTGGCTTGGTGGGCGTGGCGTGACTTGGTGGGCATGGCAGGAGAAGGATACTGCAAAATCTCCATTCCCACCCCACTCCTGGGGGAAGGTTACTGCAAAATCCCAATCCCTCCACACCCCACTAACCTGCTTTCCAGCTCCGTTCTCCTGTGTAGTGCAACAAAAGAAGACCCAGCCAATGAGAGGCAGAGAATAGTTGGGGGTGGGGCCAGTCAGAGGTGATAGTTGCTAGTTCTCCGAACTACTCAAAATTTCGGAAATTTTATGTCAATGTAAATTGCCTAGGGCAGTGGTCCTCCACCTTTCCAGCAACACAGACTGGTAGTGACTGGGAGGTGGAGGGGAAAGGATGGTTTTGTATGCTCAACCTATTCCCATGCATGCACATATGAAGTGTTACATGCTCGCCTGCTGCTTGCAGGAACCAGTTCCCAATGGGTTCTACATACCGGTACCGGTGTGCAGCAAGGGGTTGGGTACCTCTGGCCTAGACTCACTTTGGTTAGGTGAGGTGGCATAAAAATTCAATAAATAAATAAATAAATGAAATATTTATTTCTCCAGAAGGATGAACTCGGCAACTTCATGAATTCTCTCCTTTAAAAAAAAAAAAAAATTCTTTTCAACTTTGTTTCTACCTTGCTTATTTTCTTCCCAGAAGCTTGATAAGACCTCACAAGATCTGCGCAGCTTTGGTGAAATGTTCCAGCGCAGCCAAGGAATATGAGAACCTTATGACCTCACAGTGGTTCCTACTTCCACTGTGATGACATTTTCAAAGTTACCACTAATCTATTGACTGGGGGCTTGGAGGTCAATACATTTCAGTGGTTGGCAGATGAGCTGGGCCTAAAAGGCAAGGTTTTAACTTTCTGAGCAGGTTTTTTTTTTTTTTTTTACATTATTCCATTAATTTGTGGATTATTATTATTTTTTTACTGAAGATGAGGGTGCAAAATAGAAGTGTCTCAATATAATGTCTCAGTATTTTTGTGTGTTGCTCTGACTGATTATAGACCACAATAATCCTAAAGTTGAACTTTGTCCTGGTTTCAGAAATTGTTCAGAAATTAATAGTAAGATGGGATAGGAATTCATTGCTGCGACTTTCTTGTCTGATTCTATATAGTCCCCTTATTTTAGTCTAAAATATGTACATTAATATCATACCTTTCCTCCTGGAGTTCAAGCTTTAGATCAGGGGTGGGCAACTATGGCCTTTTTATGGCCTGTGAACTTCAACTCCCAGAATTCCTGAGCCAGCCATGTTGTCCACAGATCATAAAGGGTTTATAGTTGCCCACCTCTGCTCTAAATTGCCCTCCAATTAATCTCCAAAACAACCTTGTAGGGTAAATTGGCTGAAAGATACCAGGTGAAAGATACCAAACTCACTAGTGAGTTTTCATGATAGGGTGGACTTGAACTAAATCTCTCCAATCCTAGTCCATTTTGTGGTCCAGCTTCAGGAACTAGGATGAATGCCAGAGCGCTTGACACAATGTTCTTGCAGGTGTGCTGAATCCAGCTGCATGCCAAACTTTGAAGATCCTGGATCAAGCACACACTAGCTTAGTTGGTTTTCTTTATTCCCTTTCTGATTTTATCCTATCACGAAGACTGCAAGTAATTCAATGATCCTTGAGTAATTCTACAAAAAGAAGGCAATAAATTATCCAGAACAGGGGTCTCCAACCTTGGCAACTTTAAGACTTGTGGACTTCAACTCCCAGAATTCCTCAGCCAAAGCTGGCTGAGGAATTCTGGGAGTTGAAGTCCACAAGTCTTAAAGTTGCTGTCATGCCCCTGTTGGAATCTGATTCTGAGGGGGAGGTCGAGCAACTGACAGGGAGTGGGAGTATGGCTCTGATGGCTGTGGAAGAAACTGGGAATGGCACAGTCCGGCTGGGCATTCAGAGGAAGACCCAGGACCACCCCCTCTTCATCCTAGAGCATGCAGGGAGGAAAGGAGAAGGGAGCAACGTGAGTTACATGGGTTACGGGGGAGAAAAAGGCCCTGATTTCCTTCATTAGCTGCAGCTGAGAAAACAGGATTTTAAAAGGGCATTTGCGCACAGCACCTTGCTGGAAGCAATGCATCAATTATCTTGGTTTGTCAAGTCTTATCTGGGTTCCAGCGTCCTCCCAACTGTGTGTGTTTCATTATCTTTTGGAAGTCTGCAATTCCTTATCCTGCCCTGTCTCGTTAATTGCTGCAGAGTGGTTTGTGTTGGATTTTATTTATAATTTATATATACTTTGGGTTTGGGCTGAATTTCTTCCTTTTAAAAACTGTTCTTGGGAGAGTTTTTTTTTTCTCCAGCCGATGATAACTGGACATTGGGGGCCAAGTTGGAGGAAGAGAAGAGAAGAGAAGAGAAGAGAAGAGAAGAGAAGAGAAGAGA